GCCTCCTGCACTGTAGCTAGAAGGAGGGTGTGACCGGAGGTGTGCCCGAGGGTGTGCCTGTAACGCCTCCCTTATAAATAAGGATCAACCCTTGACGCCATAAACAAGCGTCTGACCTTATCCATTTGAGCCAAGGCCGTAGGCCCCACCCCAGGGCCATTGGGCCATTTGCAAGGAGAACTTTAAGGGGCTGTTTGGATAGATTTTTTTGGGGTGGTAAAAGAGGAGAAAGCTGCCAAAAATATCAGCTTTTTAACAGCTTTCCCCCAAAATCATCTTTTTAAGGGGTGATTTTGGGAGAAAGCTGTCAAAAAGCTGACATTTTTGACAGCTTTCCCCACTTTTACCATCCAAAAAAAAGGAACCAAACAGCCGCTAACCCCAAAGGCTATCAAATGTGTACCGGTTGGGTGGGTGGACAAACTGTTGAAAAAATATATTATAAAATAATTAGTATTGGTACCACGTCACCAGCGCAGCCAGAGACAAAGTTCTTGGTTTTTTTTTTTTTATAGAAACCCTCAACGAAAGCGGATCCATTTTCAAAAGACAAAACCCGAAAGCCAATATGCGCTCCTCGAACCAAGAGCCAACCCAACCAATGAGATCTCAGTATTCGATCGTGGGCCCACCACACACATCCCAGCCACGACTCTAGATACCGCTTCCACGCGTCGCTTTATTTCTGACCCACGTGCCCTCGGTGGGCCCCACACCTCCCCCTCTTCCTCCCTCACAATTTTTCTCTCTGGAAACCTCCGAAAAAAATAAAAATAAAAAAAATAAAGATAGATAGAAGAAGAAGAATAAGAAAAAGAAAGGGGGAAAAAAGAAGGCTTTGTTCTCTTTTTGTTTCTTCACTCTCTGCAAATGTTTGAATCTACTTGGATCGGATCGATTGGGACGAGCGCTGGATTCGATTCTTTCTATCGATTCTTTGACGATGTTTAGTTGGAACGGGCGAGATCAGGTTCTGAGCTATCTTTTCTCTCTTGTTTCATCTTGTTTTTTGTGGTTTGATTTGATTTGAATGAGTTTTTAGTTGGATTAGGAAAGTAGAGGTGTATTATTGTGGAAATGGTACTGGATTTGTCACTAAAGTTAGGTTTTCATTAGTCTTGATCTCATAAAGTTGGTGTTTTAGTGGAAAATTGCACCGATCTCTTAAGGAGTTCTGATTTAGTGATAGCCTTGAGCCTAATTTGGTAAAGAGCGAGGATTTTGAAGGGTTTATTTGTGTGCTCCTTTGGGGCTGCTTAGTTTTATTGGCAATAGAAGGGTTAATAGACAGTGCATAGAGATGTAAGATCGACAACATTCTTTTGCTTCCAACTAGTACATAACAATTAGCATTTGTGTGAATTAACAAGAAGACGGTGGCAAGAAGGTAACCCTTGAAAATAGTTACTAAAAAATCCATAAGCAGTGGCAGATCCCAAAAAAAAATTCTTTGGGGGGAAGAGGGCAGATGACGAGTATCTACTTACAAAAAATGTAATATTATAGAAGAACATTCCTAATAAATGGGTTAAATTTACAACTTAAATAGGTTAAAGCTCAAATGGGGTGCAAACATTTACTAATTATGGGGGGAAATTGTAAGTTTACGATAACTTAGAATGTAATTTGCATAATCGTAGGGTATATATACATCTGCTTATGCCCATAAAATTTCTTCTTTTTTATTGTAGTTGCTTCCTCCTTCCCCTGCAATATAGCCTACACCCTGTGTTTGAGGACAAACTTATAACCCTTATCCTCCATTAGCAGTTTTGGTGTAGTCCATGAGTTCATGTTTCAGCCAAGGAAAAGTGCAAGTGCATTGTGGGGGTATGCTAGAGTATAAAATTATATGTCTCAACCATTATCACAACTTTGGAGTTTTGGCGTAGGAAAAGGGATCATTAGGACCATGAGAATTCAGTAAGGCCTTTTGAGTATGGAGTTATTATCATACTCTATCAGTAATCTGTATTTTATTGAGATAATGGTATATTTTTGACCTATTTAAACCTTAGTGGACATAGAAACAAAACTCATGATTAGCTCTCCCTAAAAGCTCTTTTTGTTAGTGCAATAACAAGCTTAACTTCTTGAAAATTCTAGAGTTAGTTCAGCAGTTATAAAAAATACCTATAGAAACACACATAGAGTTCTCATTGACTAAAATATAAATTCAAGTAAACACTTAATCCTAAAATTGCGCATAGTTCTCTCTAATGGAAACAATCGTCAAGTAATGGATCTAAAATAAATGTCTTTGTAATCTCTCTCTCAATAACTCAATAGGAAATTCATCCTCCGTCCTATTACGCAATCTAGTCTTCATTGAAGTAAAAAATAGATATTCAGTAGTTGCAGTAGAAACCGGAAGAGTCAAAATCAGGCGAACTAATCTATCAACAAGAGGATAAGTCTTAGACTTCTTTGTCTGTGCTGAACCCTGAGATAGCTTTGTAATAGATAACAATATTATATATTGGTCATAATAATAAAAAAGTAAGAGAATGAAAATAGGAAAAGATTGTACCTTTAGGGTTTAGAGAATACATCACTAGTTGTCTCTAGAATTGAGAAAAAACTCTAAAACTCCATCTCAATGGAGTTGTAAATTTTTGGATTTGGGGATAACATTGAGAGAGAGCTTGGTTGAATTTGAGTTGATTTTAAATTTACATTTAATGAGGAAAATAGCTCAAAAGAGAGCTCATGATGACAAAGAAGTTGAGCTGACAAAGGTCTGTGATTTCTAATAGGTGAGTGATCTTACTGGGTTTGGGTTGGGTTGAATCCAAACCCATGAGATTTGACCCAAATTCGTTTACTCAAAAGCAAGGTTTTAAATGTCGGCTGACATGTCGGTTTGAGGGCTTAAGCGACACGACAAGGACGTTTTCAACTCGTATGTCGGTTTTAGGGACAAATCGAAAATAGCGGGCATATCGGCCGATTTTTCAGCCTCGAAAAATCAGCCGATATAGTCTTTTTTTTAGATCTATTTTTTATTATTGGGTTTGGGTTTTTATTATCAGGTTTGGGTTTAGTGATAAAAACCCAAGCCCGTTTAACCCGTTCTCATGTTTAAGGGTTTCTTATGAACCTGATAGAAAGAAAAGAGAAAAATTAGGGCTACAGTGGATTTGGAAACCGATCACTCCTTTCGTGAACGACGACGCCCTTTCCCCACCTCCATCTCGGACCCCATCGTCCATCTCCCATTACGTCCCAAAATTCGAACCCCAACCGAACCCGAGGATGATAGGGTATCCCGTCGTCGAGATAAAGGGAAGAGGGTGGTCGGTAACTCATCCGAAGGACCCCAAGCAGACGAAGAAGAAGAAGAAGAGCCCCGGCACTGTCACCCTGCAACGTCGGAATCCACCCATCGCTGGCGCCGCCTCTAAAATTTATAAATTATGCTTATATTGAATTTAGGAATGCTTAGATTATATTTAGGACATGATATTATACATATGCGCACCACCCGATATGACAATCCGATATTGAATGCTTAGATTATATTTAGGACATGATATTATACATATGCGCACCACCCGATATGACAATCCGATATTTAGTCCATGTCCTCCGATATATCTCCGATTTCCGCTATCCGACATAGATTTCAGTCGTCCGGCATGAACCCGACATCCGACATTTAAAACCTTGCTCAAAAGTAAGTCTTTGGGCTTTGGTTTATGGTACTGGGCTGTCTTTTGGGCTTTGGCAACGTATGGGCTCGTGCTTTGCTCAAGACTTAGGGGGGGGGCAGTCTAAAGTTAATTAGGTTTGAGTTATAATCTGATACCAAAATAATTTGCATGCGGGTTGGGCGTGGGGAGTGGGAGACATGTCCTCCCCCCATCCTTACAATTTTGCCTGAATCCATCTTTTAATCCTCAGGTTGTCTACTAGTCAGACAATTTCTCTTTCTCCGGAGGTAAGAAGAGTGAAAGAGTTTTACCTTGTTCCTGCCAAAGCACTTTGGAGTAATAGTAATTATCAATGAGTAGGAAATAGTTTACCAGATTAGCAACAAAACAAACAAAACCTTAATAGGCTAATGAACTTTTTAAAGAAAGAAAAATATTTGTAAATTTAATCCAGTAAGTGATCCAACATAGTCTGTAGGGACCTTCTAAGTTGCGTTTAAATATTATCCCATATTTCGAAACCTGCATTAAAAGGTCCTCTGTATAATCTAGAAATACCTTTGCTTGTTTGAAACACAATATAGAATTTCCTAAAGGTAACACCACTTTGACAAGATTTGGTTAGTTTAAGATTGATGAGGCTTCTGTGTCTCTAATAATATGCGGGGTAAGCATCAGGCAATGATGAAGAGTAAGTATTTCACACATGTTGGATGTAAATTCATGTATGTGTTGGATGTAAATACATGACTAACTTTTAGCTGCACATACTTTATAACCTAACATCAGCAGTACGGGATACTGCTTCTCGACCACATGAAACATACATGTTCATCCATTTGAAACTTCTTTTTGTGAATGCGTTTTGAACTTTTGGTATATATTTGCATATTTTTCACCCACATTGACAAACTGTGATGCTCTTGCTATTTCCGATATAGCTCTTGCTATGTCCAATATAACTCTTGCCAAACAATGACAGAATCAGGAATCCAAAGCACCAAAAAATGTGAGACTCCAATGCGCATTAGATGCATACCATATTCCACCAATAATGTTATGAGTGGTGTTAGGGGCACACCCCCTACCACACCACCAACCACCCCCCCTCTCCCATCGCTACAGTAAACTAGGCCCCACATGGGATTTTAAAATTTTTAAAATCCCATGTGGGTCCTGATTTACTGTAGCGATGGGAGAGGGGGTGTGGTTGGTGGTGTGTTAGGGGGTGTGCCCCTAACATTATTTTAATGTTATTACTGCATGAGTGTCTTGCCTTTCTTTTTTCTTTTTTTCCGTGGCAAGCCATCATTTAACTAATCAACGACATCTAAAAATATCTATCTGGTGTGAATATATTGTAATGCAAATGCCCACACGTATTGTGAAGTAGTTGCTCTCGGGCTATTCCATGTGAACTCATGTGTATGCAATTTTGTATTCTTTGTTCTAACAAATATGGATGCCTGGTATTTGTTGGTCAGTAATAAGAACAAGGAGGTGCAACATATCTTAAGCATCTGAAGACAGATATAAGGGGCACTTAATGTGCATCTCGTGTCTGACTTCTGCCATTATTTCAATTCATTTAGTATTTTAAATTTTATTTCAACACATATTTCCATCATTTGTGCTTCTTAATGAATTAGTTATGATTTTTTCCCCTCAAAGAACTAAATGATATCAAGTTGAGATTACAATAAATCTATACCTTTCATTTCTGCTGTTCATTTATTACCTCTAATTTGCGAAGTACTTAAATATGAACAACATATATTCTAATTTTCAGGTAGGAGGCGCGGTGTGGCCTAATTACAATGAGACTAAGGATCATATTGTGCCTCATCCTATGGAAACTGAAGAGGACGCTTTGTTTCCCGGTGTAGAATATGAAAAGTTTAAGAGAGATGAAGGTCTTACCTCTCTTGTGCAGTGTACTGAGCAGTCAGCTGAGGCCAAACATAGTCATATCAGTTACAGATCAGATGGAAGCTCCGGTTTTCAAACAAATGAAGAGCTTTCTTCTTCACAAGCTGAGATAGATTCTTGGCTTGATTTTCCTAACTTATGCATTGAGCTTAAGGATGACTACAGCCACGGAAATAATCATAATCCAGTGATGGAATCGATGAATGATCTCACTGATGGAACCAGCCTGAACTCAGTTAGAGGTAACATCAGAGCCTTTTGTAACTCTAGTTGAATGCTTCTTGAAAGTTTATCATCTGAGCAATTCTTGGTGTGTTCATAGGTGAACCAGCGCAGCTACATCACGAGTCTGGCTTGATTGGTCATGAAGATAATAAAGAAAATGATGATTTTCTTGAATGTGATTGGGCTACTTTTGGAGATTTTGATGATATTGAGAAACTATTTAGGTATTGCCAGTAATATTGGACTATATATGTTGATGATTATGCCTTACACCTTCCATTAGTCACTTTAAGACCTTTTATTTACCTCATGAGCATCCAATTTGAGAACTTTTTTTTTGTCTTTCCAAGTTTTATGATATTATCTTGTCAATATCCTCATATGTCACTATTCTGCAGAAAAGATGACTCCATATTTGGACATGATATGATTGGAGATGCAGATGGGCTTCTTTCTCCATCTAAAGATGTCATTGATAGTGCTGCCCAATCAATTCTGATGCCTGTAAGTGTGCAAGTTCTAATTCCTGTAAAATTTATTGCCGATTATCTGATAATGGCCTCTTCATGAACTAATCCTGATTTATCTTGTCTGCAGGACCTACCATTATGCAAAAACCAAACTTCTGATGAAGGTTGCTCATCTTTCCAGTCAGATGATCATACTGACAAACAAAGAAGCCCCTTATGTAAAGAGAAGGTAAGTAGTCTATTAATGCATATAATTTCAGGTACTTGAATGGCGCTACCTTTGAGAGCGTAAAGAAAACTGTAATTATAATTAAACCCACAATCTAATATTTTGCCTCAATTCTTCACTATGAATGAGGTAGTTGTGTCAAATACTAATGGATGGTGATCATAGACCAAGGTTTCTAAGATTTGTCTAGATTTTTCTAAGTGAAGAATCTTAAACTATAGGGAAGAACACTAGGATCTTATAAGTTGTAATTATCACAACCTTCAGGCTTCATTGTCCATCCTTCAAAATTGATTTGTATCGTATCAGGATTAATGTATACTTGAGCATGAGCATGATTAAAAGAAAACAGGCGCAATAAACAATATTTTTTTCTTCTAGTTCTCATTTATCAACAGGGAGGAAAATTATCTTATGTTTTAAACTAACTTGGATCTGAACTTTGCTAGAAAAAGAAAACAAAGGGAAAAAAACAAAAAACTAAAGGATATAAATAATGTAGCTTGACTTGTCAAACTCCAATTGCATTTGATCATGTATATTCATATCAGTGTTCATCTATGTTTAGAGGTGTCAATAGCAGTATTTAATCTGTCAGCCATTCTTATATTCTAGGCTAGGAGAATCCTACACTCTGGACTAGTTCATCAACTGATACCCAACTTGGATCCAACTGACAGAATATTCAATGTGACGTAACTTGCAAGTTATATATAACATTTTTGCACATCCGCCCCCTGCTAATGTATATGTAATCTGCGTATTTCTTTTCAACTTAAAGGTGGTAGTTCTTTTCTTCAATAGTTCACGGATCGTTTCACCATCACAATGTATATAAATGATAGGAAGAAGTTTTTTTCTCCCATCACGAATCGGGTATAAACTTGTTTAGAAAATCTGTTAGTTTCTTGGAGATTTGCGTCCTTCAGATTGTTTTTATTGCCATCTGCAGGTAGATGGGCAGAAACTAATACCCGGGTCTCAGAACAAAGCAGAAGAAAAGGGGAAGAACAGACTATCAAGGAACATAAAGGAAAGTTATAACCAAAACCAAAATAATGCAAGTATAAGCATTCAAAGTTCAGTTACAACTCCTCTGAAAGCCTTTCAGTCAAAACCGATGAGTCAAGAGATGCAATTTGGTGATGCTAAGCGTATGGGAGACCAAGGATATCCTACAAATTGCTTACCTGGAGTGCAGTTTTCTTCAAATGTCATAGAAAAAAACCAAAAGAGACCTGTTCCTTCTACATACGATGTTCGTTCTGGTGACACAAAGCATCCAAAAATTTCAAATAGACTACAAGATGGCACGCCAGGAATTATGACAGCTCAAGAGAAGATGGAGAAACTAAGGCAATTACAGAAAATGCAGGCCCAGCTAGCTATTGAAAAGCAACAGCTGCAATATAATCATCAACCATCTGATGCTGACGTTTCTGCCCCTCAGTGCTCTACATTGACATATGAATCCCCTTCAGAGGAAGTCATATACTGTCAACTTCGAGATGTTGTGGAAAAGGTCTAGTTTTATTGCCTATGAAGAGTCCCTTCTAGAATTAGGAATTTGTGCTGCTTTTTAGGATCATAATTGTTGCCGTTTATGCAGTTGGATATTAGGACTAGACTTTGTATTCGAGATAGCTTGTTTCGGCTTGCCAGAAGTGCAATGGAACGACAAAGTGCTAGTGACAGAAGCAGTACCAACAAAAGTAACAGAGAGGAGGATGAAGTTTCTGCAGATGAAGAGTTGAGAAATTATGATCGGTAAGCTAACCTACTGTTCGTTTGGCTCACTTATTTTTTAGATTACTTTTTCTTTCTTTCTTGTGTGTATGGAAGTATAGAGAACCTAGATTTCAGCCAGTAGTCTTATAACCATTTTCTCATCAAAATGTACTATTAGTTGGTTAGTATTTGTCTGAAAATCATTGTAGAATAATGTCAGCAGCCATTTGCTAGGTATTGTATGTGTTGGTCTATCAGATTATAGGCATGATAGTGTATTACACTCTACAATTATAGTAATCTTGATTTAAGATTCACTTTGATATTATTCATTTGTACTAATCCTGTAAAAAGATTCAACATCATTCTTTCTTCATGAACCCACTAGCTTCTCATTCAAAGTATATTTGGCATAGGTTCAGTGAGCAGATTAGCGTTCGTGATCTTTCCAGGTGGGTTATCTGGAATCGGAAGTTGAATATGTTGGGAAGTCTACTATTAGAATTGTCCATCTTGATTGAACAAGACCTTCTAGATTTATCATGTAAATGAGATTACTTTCACATAGGACATAAACCAATTTTTGATTGTTTGCAATCATATAATTACACAAAAATAACTAATCCCTAATTCCCCAAATAAGCAAATGGTCTTATTCCAACAGGATCAAGCCACCCTTCAAATTCTTATTCATTTGGTTGACCTCTCTCCTTCGCATACTCGTCGATGAACATGGAGTAGACTAAGCAATCAAGAATTACTCTATTCACCCCTGTAAGTCTAGTAGCATGGACCTAGATCGGTGGAGATGATGGAGAAGTAACCTGCTTTGAGAATCTCCTGAAAGAGATTCATACCTACTCTACAAAGTATCCAGGATTGCATTCTTCAAACTCTCTTGATTGTCTATATTTCTTCTCTCTTCCAAGATTAGATAATCTCCCGCACAAACCCGAATCCTTCCTGCATCCTAACTGTTGGCGCTTTAGGAGTCTGATTCATCATTTATGTTCAAATACCAGCTGAAAATATGAAATTGATTTAATCACCATCTTCAAATAGCACTAGTAGTCAGATGATGACATAATTTGGTTTTTTTTTTTTTTTTTTTTTTTTTTTTATTGTTTTTTTTTTTTTTTTTTTTTTTTTTTTTGCAGACGTGCAACGTTGGCAGATCCAGAAACAGATACAAATCCTATTGATCGCATCGTGGCCAATTTGCTCTTCCAGAGACCAACAGAAGCTTGTTCCAGAATTGGCTCATATCTGCTCAGCTCAACTTAGTAATCTCCCTTTTCATAACCCATAAGCACATGAATCCTTTACTTTTGTATTTTAAAAAAAAAACTACTTATAAACTATCTCTTGTAATAAGGATTGGCGTGGATGCTTGTCATTTGATTGACGAGAAGAGAAGGATCTGCAGTCTTTTATGTGAAGTAAGATGTATTATGACAAGATCTTGTTACTTTCTTGTATCTTTCTTCTTTTTGTTTGTAATATATACAACCTTTACATTTTTCTTATTGAGGGAGTTCTCTGTTTCTATGAGATTTTTCCATCTCAGAGCAAGCTGATAACTCATCGTCCCAGCGCTGCAGCTTCGTCTCGAAGAATTTGATGTCTTCATGCATTTACAAATTTTTTCGATCTTGGTAATCTTTATGTAATATCTTAATGCTGAGTTGGAGCTGACAAGTACCTAAGGCAAACGTGTAAAGAGCTCTGGATGCCAAATTTTGGTGCAAGTTGCAGGTATTTTATTAAGTTGAGTGACGGTTTCCTATGGGAAACAGTGCCAAGGTTAAAACCCTAAATCACAGTGAAGACGATAAAGTTTGATCTCGTGTTGTTTCTGTATTATATTTATTCGTCTAGTATATTTCTATACTTAATTGCATCAGTGTTTCCATTTGCAGTCGGTCCAATAGATCAAAATTGTAAAGCTTAAGGTTCTCGGGCACCAAGAGGTGGGTTTGAATCCCCTCAGTTACGGTGGACGACAGAAATTTCGGATTGATATGTAAGAGCACCTTGGCTTTTATTGATTCATCGGCGATTTCGTGGTTTTTGTAGGGATTCATCTTCATATATTTGTAAAAGAGGAGTCATTTTTGCGTTCCAAAAACTTTCTTTCATGAAGTAGGAGGCTTTGTAATCCCTTCAGGCTTCAGCTCTGCCGTACTGTAGAAGTAACGTGGTAGTAGCAAATGCAATTATTACAATTCTTATGGGCTTGGTTCTAAACGCAAGGGAGCAGGGCTTTGGACCCCAGTGACGGGCTTGTATCACATTATTGTTGTGCGGTTAACCCCTTTGCGATCTTGTTGAGTTGAACCAAGAAAATGTGACCGTCTTCCAAAAAGAGAAAAAAGAGGAGATATAGGTATTTTGTATTTATATTTGCGTTCTGTCACATAGCAGCTGCCCTGCGGATGTACGTATCTTTGTTGATTGCAATGACAATAAAATGGGCCAAAGTCGCTCTAAAATAATTAATGTGAACGAAAACCGACTAATTTCAGTGAGAGAGAGTCTGTGATCTATCCAATGACAATAAATAGGGTTTCTGATAAACCTAAATTTCAGGGTTTTTTTTTTAAAATATTTTGAAAGTTATGAGGGTTTATTGATAATTGCTCAAAATGAAGGGTGTTTTTTCTCGAAATTTAGCCTAATATGATCAATGTTTTTAAATAAAGATGCATAATAAAAAATATAAAAGTTGACAAGCCATTTTAAAAGACGAATACTCGAGGAAATATATGTAACCGTATTCATCAGGATACAGATATGGTTTCTCAAATCTATAACCGATAGGATATAATTACAGATACGGTTTTATAATGAAATATCCGGATCCATATTCAAAATATTCGAATACATATTGGTCATGTTGTTGCAATAGTTCTAATCCTTAGATTAATGGATTTGAGGTTAATTTTGATGATCAAAATGTCTAATCTTAGCTTTTCATTTATAATACTAATGAAATTTTTTATATCGTGTTAACCGTGATTTTGTTAATATTGTCCAGTTTTCTCATATCCCTTTTGTACATGCACGCGCATCCGTTTATATATCCGGATGTATATCCGTATCTGTATCCGATTTTAACGGATATGAATATGAATTTTTTTCACTGGGGTATATTAGTATTTGTATCCGTATCCGCGGATACGGATACAAGAGG